ATCCCCCACACTGGTTATCAAGAAGCAAAAAAAGAAATCACACAGCCCCCTTTATTGCATTCCAGTCTCTGGCTACCAGTCAGCACCTAGGTCCAGTACAGTGAGAAGTTATTTTAAACTCTGCTCACTATACAAAATGTTCTTCTGACCCCAAAGGGTCAACCACATCACCAGGTCAGAATAGGTTTGGTTCTTACCCAAAATACCACGCTGCCGGCCATTTAGTATCTAAAATGAAAGGTTTATTGTAAAGTAAAAAGAAAGGACAAGAAGACAGATGTTAAATGGTAAAATAGTCACATACATACAAAGACTTCAAAGTCCAGATATCAAGTTCCTATCAGTATTGGTGAGTTTGCTGGCTTGTAAGTCCCTCTGGAACACACCCACAGCTAGGATGAGTCATTCAGTCCTTTGTTCAAAGTTCCGCCACAGATAAGAAGCAGACAAAATGGAGAAGATGCAGCTGCCTTTTATAGTCTTTTGCCATGTAGCCTGTGCTTCCTGTATTTCAAACACAAGCTGACCAGCACATGGCTTGGAGGCCTTAGAGTTCTGTCCATAGGCCTGCCCCCGCATGTTGTCATGTCCCCTCTCAGTCCCCTCTTTTCCAGACTGAACAAATCCAAATCTTTTAATCTTCCCTCATAGGTCATGTTTTCTAGATTTTTAATAGTTTTTGTTGCTCTTCTCTGGACTTTCTCCAATTTGTCCACATCTTTCCTGAAATGTGGTGCCCAAAACTGGACACAATACTCCAGCGGAGGCCTATTCAGTGCAGAGTAGAGCAGAATTACTTCTCGTGTCTTGCTTTCATCACTCCTGCTAATACATCCCAAATGATGTTTGCTTTTTTTGCAACAGCGTTACACTGTGGACTCATATTTAGCTTGTGGTCCACTCTGACCCCTAGAACCCTTTCCACAGTATTCCTTCCTAGGCAGTCATATGTGCAACTGATTGTTCCTTCCTAAGTGGAGTACTTTGCATTTGCCCTCTTTGAATTTCATCCTATTTATCTTAGACTATTTCTCCAGTTTGTCCAGATTGTTTTGAATTATAATCCTTGTGACGGGCTGGATCACAGAAACCCCCTGGGAGTTGCCAACTGATGTGCCAAGACTACTTCTGTCCCAGCTTTCCTGCCCTGCCAGCCTGGGACTTCAGTGCTCTGCCTGGTTTGAGCCAGACCCACTAGCCTGCTGCAAACCCAGACACAGGTCTGAACCACGTCCCCTAACTGCTGTAGGCTTAATGGAAAGCAACTTACAGAAGTGTTCCTGCCTTTAACACACAGATGCCCAACTCCCAATGGGGTCCAAACCCCAAATAAATCCATTTAACCCTGTATAAAGCTTATAGAGAGTAAACTCATAAATTGTTCGCCCTCTATAACACTGATAGAGAGATATGCACAGCTGTTTGCCCCCCCCCCCCCGGTATCAATACATACTCTGGGTTAATTAATAAGTAAAATATGATTTTATTAAATACAGAAAGTAGGATTTAAGTGGTTCCAAGTAGTAACAGACAGAACAAAGTGAATTACCAAACAAAATAAAATAAAACATGCAAGTCTATGTCTAATCAAACTGAATACGGAAAAAATCCTCACCAGTTCCAGTAAGCTCTCTTTTACAGACTAGTCTCTTTCTAGTCTGGGTCCAGCAATCACTCACACCTCCTGTAGTTACTGTCCTTTGTTACAATTTCTTTCAAGGATCTTTGGGGGTGGAGAGGCTCTCTCTTTATCCAGCTGAAGACAAAATGGAGAGGTCTCCCAGGGGTTTAAATAGACTTTCTCTTGCAGGTGGAGACCCTCTCCTCTCTCCTATGCAAAGTCCAGCTACAAAATGGAGTTTTGGAGTCACCCCAGCAAGTCACATGTCCATGCATGACTGAGTTCCTTACCAGCCAAGCCACATTCCTGGGAAAGCCCAGATGTGGATTGGTGTCTTCAAGTTCATTGTTGGCTTAAGGGTTACTTGATTGGTCACTTACTGAGAATAGTCTTTTCTCAAGAAGCTGACCAACTGCTTCACTAAAACCTACTCCGAATCAAACAAGTATGCAGCCAATATTCATAACTTTGAATACAAAAATGATACATGCCTACAAATAGGATTAATAGATTCAGTAGATCATAACCTTTATAGATATATGTTACATGGCATATGTAGCATCAAACAGATTCTAGTTATGCCTATATACATTCATAAGTATATTTCCATAAAGCCTCATGGGGGGCACCATCACAATCTTATCTTCCAAAGCACCTCCCAGGTTGGGTATCATCTGCAAACTTTATAAGTGTACTTTATAAGGGTCAGTTTTATAGCTGATGGTCCCCAATGGGCCATCAAGCTAGGGTTACCATACGTCCGGATTTTCCTGGACATATCCGGCTTTTTGGGGCTCAAATCCCCGTCTCGGACATGTCCAGGAAAATCGGGAGGGAGGGAGGAAGGGCTCGGCGGTGCTCTGCCGGGGCCTCTGGGGCTGGGGTCGGCGGTGCGGGGCCGGGCCGGGGCCAGCGGTGCTCGGCAGGAGCCGGGGGTGCGGTGCTGGGGCTGGGGCCGGTGTGGTGCCGGGCCAGGGTCGC